AAAAAGAAAAGGAGGACTAGTGGCACCTTAGAGACTAACTAAGTCTCAAATAAATTGGTTAGTCTCTAAGGTGCCACAAGTACTCCTTTTCTTTTTGCTCCTCCTCTCAGCTATCCATGAGTTCTTTACCTCTAGGCTTGGCTACTCAATGGGCTTAGCCTGGCTTCACCCACCAAAGCCCCCCAGAAAGTCGGCTTCAGGTACAATGCAGCCCTTCTCCTTTTGATTGAGACAGGCGGCTTGATTGGCTCCATTGTTTTGGCCTGACCGAGCCTTCCAGGGAGACTCCCAAATGAAAGTCTAAGGGCTGGCCACCAACTCCAAGGCTCTAAATGGCTGGGGCCCCTAAAAGACTGACTCTCCATCTCCTATGTGCTGTCCAACCTATGCTCATCCAGGATGCAGGATCTAAGCATCCAGGGGTCAAAGTGATGGGTTTCAGAGGCAGGGACTTCTCAGTAGTGAGCCCAGGAATTTACTCCCAGCAGGAATTTGTCTTAACTTGAACTTTGGCCACTTTTCGATAGAGATTCATCTCTTTACCCAGGCTTTCAAATTGCCAGCTTCAGCTGACAGGCCAAGTCACTCCCTTCTCTATGGGCCAGATTTACTCCAGGGGGGTGAACTGAGATCCGAGAATTGACTGCCTCAGAGTCCAAAGAGACCTAAATTCCCCCCCCACTGTTAAAAAGACCCATCTGCCTAAAACACAAAGATCCTCAGGAGATTCAGGAAAAAGACAATATAAAGATCAGGCTTTGAGGGAAATGTTACCCATGGTTTAGTCTTTTGCAGGACTCCTGCATGTTCCTTTGGTGATCCTAGTGAGTTTCAGAGCTCTAAAGAGGTCTTACAAACAGCAAGCAGCGTGAGTCATAGAATCACAGAATATTAGGGTTGGAAGGGACCTCAGGAGCTCATCTAGTCCAACCCCCTGCTCAAAGCAGGGCCAATCCCCAACTAAATCATCCCAGCCAGGGCTTTGTCAAGCCTGACCTTAAAAACCTCCCTAGGTAACCCATTCCAGTGCTTCACAACCCTCCTAGTGAAAAAGTTTTTCCTAATATCCAACCTAAACCTCCCTCATTGCAACTTGAGACCATTACTCCTCGTTCTGTCATCTGCTACCATTGAGAACAGTCTAGAGCCATCCTCTTTGGAACCCCCTTTCAGGTAGTTGAAAGCAGCTATCAAATCCCTCCCTCATTCTTCTCTTCCACAAGACTAAACAATCCCAGTTCCCTCAGTCTCTTCTCATAAATCATGTGCTCCAACCCCCTAATCATTTTTGTTGCCCTTCGCTGGACTCTTTCCAATTTTTCCACATCCTTCTTGTAGTGTGGGGCCCAAAACTGGACACAGTACTCCAGATGAGGCCTCACCAATGCCGAATAGAGGGGAACGATCACATCCCTCAATCTGCTGGCAATGCCCCTACTTATACAGCCCAAAATGCCGTTAGCCTTCTTGGCAACAAGGACACACTGTTCACTCATATCCATCTTCTCATCCACCATAACCCCTTGGTCCGTTTCTGCAGAACTGCTGCCTAGCCACTCAGTCCCTAGTTTGTAGCAGTACACGGGATTCTTCCGTCCTAAGTGCAGGACTCTGCACTTATCCTTGTTGAATCTCATCAGATTTCTTTTGGCCCAATCCTCCAATTTGTCTAGGTCCCTCTGTATCTTATCCCTACCCTCCAGGGTGTCTACCACTCCTCCCAGTTTAGTGTTGTCTACAAACTTGCTGAGGGTGCAGTCCACGCCATCCTCCAGATCATTAATGAAGATATTGAACAAAACCAGCCCCAGGACCGACCCTTGGGGCACTCTGCTTGATATCAGCGGTCAACTAGACATGGAGCCATTGATTACTACCCGTTGAGCCCAACAATCTAGCCAATTTTCTACTTATAGTGCATTCATCCAGCCCATACTTCTTTAACTTGCTGGCAAGAATACTATGGGAGACCATATCAAAAGCTTTGCTAAAGTCAAGGAATAATACGTCCACTGCTTTCTCCTCATCCACGGAGCCAGTTATCTCATCATAGAAGACAATTAGGTTAGTCAGGCATGACTTGCCCTTGGTGAATCCATGCTGACTATACCTGATCACTTTCCTCTCCTTGAAGTGCTTTAGAATTGATTCCTTGAGGACCTGCTCCATGTTTTTTCCAGGGACTGAAGTGAGGCTGACTGGCCTGCAGTTCCCCAGATCCTCCTTCTTCCCTTTTTTAAAGGTATGCAAAACATTAGACTTTTTCCAGTCTTCCGGGACCTCCCCCAATCACCGTGAGTTTTCAAAGATAATGGTCAATGGCTCTGCAATCACATCTGCCAACTCCTTTAGCACCCTTGGATACAAAGTGGGGCATTGCTGTGCTATTGACAACCGGTGACAGAATCAAACCACTGATAACCATGTGAAAACAACAGGGTGACAGAGCTGACACTGAGTAGGAGACAGAGCAATCCATTGGAATGAGATGAAACTGCCTAAGGACAGTGACACTTGTGTCAAGGGAGTGTTACATTCTTAGGGGGCAGCACAACCTTAATCCTGCAAATCTATCTGCTAATATGAACCCCTTGCTAGCATGGGTTCCCACGGACTTCAGCGGGACTCTAGGCAGGCACAACAGCCTGAGTCAGCACACATATTAGCAGCCAGGGCCACAGCCAGCAACACAAGAACAAGATTCTTCTTCATCTCTTGGTGCAGATATTGGGGCTTCTATTTCAAAGCCTCTTAGATTGGTTCTAGGCTTTCAAAGACATTGCAGCTTGTCCCTTAAAATGCAGGGCTCAGGCTGGCAGTGCCAGTGGTCATAAAAGCCTCACACAATTGTTTCATTTTTAACCATATTTATTCAGTTTTAAATCAGCTGCTGGGAACAACCTGGCCCTGGATTGATCTGCAAAATTTTGTGATGCATCCCAGTGATCAGCTCTCCCTGGCAGGAACAGATTAGCAGCATCCAGCCAAGAGTGTGAGCCCCAAGACAAGCGGAGAAATCAGCCCAACCATCCCTTCAGAATTTTAGCCCCTCCAGCACATCACTGCCCTGCCCACCCTTAGAGCCTAAACCTCAGCGGGTGCTCCCAGCTCCTCTTGAATCCTGTTGCCTCCCGAGCATCTTTTCTTTTCCTCCTCCTGAGATCTTGCTGCCCTCTAGTGGCCCTTGGATGTGATGACAGCTCTAAAAATAACCCACCTCCCCAGTTCTGCAGCTTTCAGTTATTTCGACATAAATCTTGGTGTCCATTATACTGACATTTTATTTTGTATGCTTTGTCTACACTGGAACCTGAACAACAAAACTTTTGTCCTTCAGAAGTGTGAAAAAATACCTCCCTCTGAATGTCAAAAGTTTTGCTGATGAAAAGTGTGAGTATGATTAGCGCTTTGTCAACGGGAGCGCTCTCCTGCGGACAAAGCTACTGCTGCTCATTCGGGGGTAGAAGTTTTTTGTCGGTGGGACAGCTCTCTCCCGCCGACAAACAGCAGCTACACTGCACCCCTTTTAGTGGCACGGCTTTAGCGGCACAACTGTGTCACTAAAAGGTGTGTAGTGTAGACATAGCCTCACTCTGCATGCTATAATCTAAACATTTAGGCAGAAAGCATTCAAAGAGCTCGCAAGGGCATGTAAGCGAAGTCTCAGTGCAGCACCAGAGACATGCATGGATTATCAGATAAGCATCTGCATTTATTTAGCTTACACCACAGACAGAAGATCAACTCAGAATAAAATTTCACAACCATAAAGGGGTCTCTGCCTCATGTAGGTGAGCAATGCCACTGTCCATTTTGGCACCCGGGCTGCTAAGCACTACCATCCCAGCATCTGCTGTCAAGCCAAACGCACTTGATGTAACACCAGGCCCTGTATTTGCAGCCAAAACCATTTAACATAACCCACAACCCACCTGAGCAAATCAGAACTTGAACATGTGCAGGTCAATGTAGGTGGTACTAGTAACAGCAGCATCTATACAACAGACAACACTAAACATGACAAGGGGTCTGACCTGTAGGTCTACTGACCACAGCTGGAGGGTTGCAGGGGAAGACAGTCCTGAGCTCTTAGCTGTCTGAGGAGCTGCTGTGGCTTAGACTCTTCTCCCTACCTATGCCCATGCAGGCAAATTTTGCCAAATGACTGTTGGGAGTGCCCATCTGCCAATCTACAGCAAGTGGGAGGAGGGATATTTCAGATCAGACTGAGTGACACTCACCGAAACTCACAGGAAATCCTCCTTTGTAAGGGGAACAAGCTTTTAAAATGGCCTCAAAACGAGCACAAAATGAGGTTCACCCTCTAGGTAAGTGAGAATTGGTAGGTCTCCATCTCCTCAGCTGGGGAAAGTCAAACCTTCTCCTGGCTCCCATTCCTGCTGAGGGCCCCAGGGGCCCACACAAGGCCTCATGTGGCACCTTAAACCAAAGTTAGGTGGAAGGGATGCCCAAATCATGCAGCAGAGCCACAGCATTATGTTGTTCCACCCCTCCCCCCCCAGCCCTCTCACCACCAATACTCCCCACTCCAGTCCAGCACAGGGTTCTTGTTATTGACATTAAATTCATTTTATTTTCTGCTGTCCTAAATTGATAAATGTTTGCTGTGCTACTCCTAGAGTGTCCTCACAGCCTGTCTCTTTTGGCAAAGGAGTGCTATGCTTTCAATCACAGCTCAGCTGAGAGCAACAGCTGGGAGGTGGGGAGGGAGGAGAATTAATTTAACTTTTCACCCCACTCCTGATCTTTGCAGCACTTTGGGATATGAGGTTGATTTAACTCTCCTCCCCAGCCCAGTCTTTGCAGTTGGGGAGAGAAGAGGGGGAGGGAATAAGATAGATTTAACTCTTTTGCCCCCTGCCTAGCTCTGATCTTGGGGGAGGGGGCGGAATGGTCTTGCTTTAACCCTTTCCTCCCCACACTGGTCTCTGCAATGGGGGTGGGGGGTGAGAGTAGAGGTCGGGGAGCCACATACTGACCTGGATCGCAGCCTCCAGCCTCAGTCCTGGCTTCTTGTCAGCCCACTCACTCATCGCTCAAAGCCGGAGTCTAACTCAAACGCATGCTGGGCTTTCTAACCTCTGTACAGAAACTCCTAATGCAACACAGAGGGCATGGCTAGCAGTTGCCGGTGGTAGTGGGGTCTCAGGCCCGGTGGATAGAGGATGTCACAGGTCTGGGGTCCTAGGGGCCACAAGCCTGAGAATAGTGGGATGGAGGGTGTCACAGGCTCGGAGGGTGGGGATCGCGGCGGGGGGTTCAAGGCCCGGTGCCCCCGCTGGTCGCTGATCGGGATTCGCGGCTCTGTCTCCCTGGAGCTGAGCAAAAGCTGCAGGCTCCGGCAGTGGTTGCTGTGGAAACCGGGACGCCAAGGGACCGGAGTTGCCATGGAAATAGAACGCTGGCCTGGGGTTGCCGTAGGGACCAAAGGACGCGGCGCTGCGCGGGCTGTCTCCTGGAGACTCTGGAACGCACGGGCAAACCGGTGGCGGGGGAAAGGAAATAGAGGATTGCCCGGCCGGCTCTGAGAGCAAAGCAGGCCTGGCTGGAGTTGCCTCCTGCTGCTGGGATCCCCCATGCCAGATTCCCCAACCCTGGTCAGCACTGATCGCCACTGGTTATTATGCACCAGGCTGCACTGATAGGAATCATTCTCATTAATATTCAGTAACTAACACTCACTATTAATTACCATTCCCAAATATCATAGAATATCAGGGTTGGAAGGGACCTCAGGAGGTCATCTAGTCCAACCCCCAGCTCAAAGCAGGACCGATACCCAATTAAATCATCCCATCCAGGGCTTTGTCAAGCCTGACCTTAAAAACTTCTAAGGAAGGAGATTTCACCACCTCCCTAGATAACGCATTCCAGTGTTTCACCGCCCTCCTTGTGAAAAAGTTTTTCCTAATATCCAACCTAAATCTCCCCCACTGCAACTTGAGATCATTACTCCTTGTCCTGTCATCCGCTACCACTGAGAATAGTCTAGATCCATCCTCTTTGGAACCCCCTTTCAGGTAGTTGAAAGCAGCTATCAAATCCCTCCTCATTCTTCTCTTCCACAAGACTAAACAATCCCAGTTCCCTCAGCCTCTCCTCGTAAGTCATGTGTTCCAGTCCCCTAATCATTTTTGTTGCCCTCCGCTGGACTCTCTCCAATTTTTCCACATCCTTCTTGTAGAGTGGGGCCCAAAACTGGACACAGTACTCCAGATGAGGCCTCACCAATGTCGAATAGAGGGGAACGATCACGTCCCTCAATCTGGTGGCAATGCCCCTACTTATACAGCCCAAAATGCCATTGGCCTTCTTGGCAACAAGGGCACACTCTTGACTCATATCCAGCTTCTCGTCCACTGTCACCCCTAGGTCCTTTTCTGCAGAACTGCTGCCTAGCCATTCGGTCCCTAGTCTGTAGCGGTGCATTGGATTCTTCCGTCCTAAGTGCAGGACTCTGCACTTGTCCTTGTTGAACCTCATCAGATTTCTTTTGGCCCAATCCTCCAATTTGTCTAGGTCCCTCTGTATCTTATCCCTACCCTCCAGGGTGTCTACCACTCCTCCCAGTTTAGTGTCGTCTGCAAACTTGCTGAGGGTGCAATCCATACCATCCTCCAGATCATTAATGAAGATATTGAACAAAACCGGCCCCAGGACCAACCCTTGGGGCACTCCACTTGATACTGGCTGCCAACTAGACATGGAGCCATTGATCACTACCCGTTGAGCCCGACAATCTAGCCAATTTTCTACTTATAGTGCATTCATCCAGCCCATACTTCTTTAACTTGCTGGCAAGAATACTGTGGGAGACCATGTCAAAAGCTTTGCTAAAGTCAAGGAACAACACATCTACCACTTTCCCTTCATCCACAGAATCAGTTATCTCGTCATAGAAGGCAATTAGATTAGTCAGGCATGACTTGCCCTTGGTGAATCCGTGCTGACTGTTCCTGATCACTTTCCTCTCCTCTAAGTGCTTCAGAATTGATTCCTTGAGGACCTGCTCCATGATTTTTCCAGGGACTGAGGTGAGGCTGACTGGCCTGTAGTTCCCAGTATCCTCTTTCTTCCCTTTTTTAAAGATGGGCACTACATTAGCCTTTTTCCAGTCATCTGGGACTTCCCCGGATCACCATGAGTTTTCAAAGATAATGGCCAATGGCTCTGCAATCACATCCGCCAACTCCTTTAGCACTCTCGGATGCAACGCATCCGGCCCCATGAACTTGTGCACATCCAGCTTTTCTAAATAGTCCCGAACCACTTCTTTCTCCACAGAGGCCTGGTCACCTCCTCCCCATGCTGTGCTGCCCAGTGCAGCAGTCTGGGAGCTGACCTTCTTCGTGAAGACAGAGGCAAAAAAAGCATTGAGTACATTAGCTTTTTCCACATCCTCTGTCACTAGGTTGCCTCCCTCATTCAGTACGGGGCCTCATTCAACTTTCTTCTTGTTGCCAACATACCTGAATAAACCCTTCTTGTTACTCTTAACATCTCTTGCTAGCTGCAACTCCAGGTGTGATTCGGCCTTCCTGATTTCACTCCTGCATGCCCTAGCAGTATTTTTATACTCATCCCTGGTCATTTGTCCAATCTTCCACTTCTTATAAGCTTCTTTTTTGTGTTCAAGATCAGCAAAGATTTCAGTGTTAAGCCAAGCTGGTCGCCTGCCATTTTTACTATTCTTTCTACACATCAGTATGGTTTGCCCCTGTAACTTCAATAAGGATTCTTTAAAATAGAGCCAGCTCTCCTGGACTCCATTCCCCCTCATGTTATTCTCCCAGGGGATCTTGCCCATCAATTCCCTGAGGGAGTCAAAGTCTCCTTTTCTGAAGTCCAGGGTCCGTATTCTGCTGCTTTCCTTTCCTCCTTGTGTCAGGATCCTGAACTCCACCATCTCATGGTCACTGCTTCCCAGGTTCCCATCCACTTTTGCTTCCCCTACTAATTCTTCCTGGTTTGTGAGCAGCAGGTCAAGAAGAGCTCTGCCCCTAGTTGGTTCCTCCAGCACTTGCACCAGGAAATTGTCCCCTACGTTTTCCAAAAACTTCCTGGATTGTATGTGTATCGCTGTATTGCTCTGCCAGCAGATATCAGGGTGATTGAAGTCTCCCATGAGAACCAGGGCGTGCGATCTAGTAACTTCTGTGAGTTGCTGGAAGAAAGCCTCGTCCACCTCATCCCCCTGGTCTGGTGGTCTCTAGCAGACTCCCACCACGACATCACCCTTGGTGCTCACACTTCTATACTTAATCCAGAGTCTGATCATTACTGATCATTTTTAACTAGCACACAGGTGTATTGAGTATATTTGATCATCCATTACTCTTGATATTCATTACTATCTATACAGCTTCTTTAATATTTATTAACATCCAGAGAGAGGAAGGGGGATTATTACTAATAGGTCAGCTGTAAAAGACGTGTTCTTGGGGGGAGCAGCGACTAAGCCATCCTAAACAGCACAGGGCAGAGGGAAAGCACATTTCAGTTTAACATAATAACTCTCACACAGACCTAGGGATCTATCTGCTGTCTCCTCCTGTCCAGATGCCACCCTTCAGCCTCAGATGTATTCCAAGCCATGGTTATCACCACCATGATCAACAGGGTGCACCTGCAAATCATCCACTAATCATCCACCAACCAGCCTCCTCCCCTAGGACTGAGACCATATAATCACCCTTATGCCATGGCTCCAAAAATGCCTTAAGTGGGGGAAGGAGATCCCAATCTGCTCTGTCCACCCTTCCAGTTTAGGGTGGACACCATATTGTATGCACCTGCTTTCCCCTCACAATGTGGGTCAGAGAAGCCACCCTGTATGGCTATGTCTACTGTGCAACTAAAATCAGTGCCAGCTGATGGGAGCTTCCTGGGCTCGGGCTGCAGAGCTGTTTAGTTGCAGTGTAGACACTCAGGCTCGGGTAGAAGCCAAGGCTTTAGGACCCTGCAGGGTGGGTGAGTCCCATAGCTTGGGCTGCAGCAGAAACCCAAACCTCTACACAGCAATTAAACAGCCCTTAGCCCAAGCCCCACAAGGCCAAACTGGCCCTGACCAGCTCTGGGTGTCTAATTACCATGTAGAAATACCTAAATATAGGCCAGAGATGCTCCTTTATCACATTCACTCTCCACATATTTGTCAGAAATCCAAGAGGATCCCTATACACCTGAGTAGGTGGAATCATAACTTCTGTTCCTCTGCGAGTGAGAGAGGAACTGGCTTGGATCAAGCATAGGCCCTGCTTGGTAGCCTTGCTTCTCAGCAGCACACAAGTGCCAGCTGCTATGTGCGCCTCTCCTTCAGTTGGCTCTTTGACCAGGCAGCACATTTCCAGTTCATCTGCTCATTCAGCCTTTATTGTACCTGCTGTACAATACTTCAGTGAATCTGGGTGCACAATAAAGGTGAGATAATCATGATATCTGGGATGTCTCTGCTGTGGAGGATTTCATTCCTCCTAGCAGTGCTGTACTTAGGCATACGCAGCTGCATGGGCAGGACTAGCTCGAACTTTTTTGCCGCCCCAAGCAAAGAGAAAAAAAAAAAAAAAAAACGCCGCAAGGACTGCCTTAGCCAAAAAAAGGAGGTTGGAGAATCGCGGAAACACCACCCCAACAGGGGCCACCCCAGGCACGTGATTCCTTAGCTGGTGCCTGGAGCCGGCCCTGCGCATGGGGTACCACTGGGTCTTAGTGTCCACAGCCTCCGCTCTTCCTATCCCTGTTCTGATCCTTCTTGCAGGCTCCCACCAAAGCTGGCTGCTGCAGCCTGGTGAATCTTCCTCCGGAGGGGATCTAGTAGTTACAAGTGAAAAAGCTTCCAGCCTGCCAGACCTATTAGCATAACATTGAAACTGTTAAAGAGCCATTCAAGTGGTAATGAATCCATTTAACAAGCATTTGCCAAACCCCAGGTATATACTATCAGGTTCTGAATTTACTGACAAAAACAGTTGTACATTACTGTAATATTTACTCAGAACATGTAAGTCTACAGGACCTTAGTTTAAAATTTGCTTTAAAAATATTTTGTTAGTGAGTTTGTGAAGATTATAAAATCACATCTCTAAAAAAATCCTTGCATAGATTTTTAGATGCACAATCATCTTTAGCCTTAAATGCTTGGATCTTCAGACATATAGTTTTTTAAATAAATCCTTCAAAAGACCACCCTTATCTAAAATACACATTTTAATTACTTATAGTAAAAAAAACTTGCTTCCAAAGTCTTCCTGTCCTTTCTGTCCATCCCTTTCTCCCTTCACACACACAACCCCCCACCCTTGAAGAGAGCATTTAAAGGGACAACACCCTTTTCCTTCCAGATAGCTGGACAGAGAGTTTCC